CATTTATTGCAGTTTTTTGAAAAAAATTTGAATAAACATTCAGATGATTGAGAATAATAAAATAAAAAAATTTAAATATTGTTGAAAATCTCATTAATCCTTTGATAGTGTTTGACGAATATAAGAAATGACCACTTCTTTGTATACTTGTGAGTATACTCGTCGTGCGAAAAAATAAAATACCGTAGCATCTGTTGTTTTAATTCAATGAAAATTAATTAGTAAGAAACTTGTAGCAATACTTATTAATTGATAAATATTTGTAATAATTGTAAATAAAAATTACTGAAAATAAATCAAGTATCAGTTAAGATTAATTATAATTTTGTTGCAATTTAATGTCGTTCGATTTCAATTACACGCTTTTGAAACTCCACCGTTATAGAAATTAATAGTTAAACTGAAAATTATAATCTAGTATGAATTTAGTCGATTCATTCTCCTCAATTCAATCTAATCACACAGGAATTGCATTACGATCGCATAATTACAAGAAGGAAAATAATATTTTCAAGAGAACCTATGCCCGCCCTGATTTTTATCATCATATTTATGACATTTTGTTAGTAATTATCGTGTCCAATATATACATGTATGTAATTGAAATTACATTATGTCCCCTAAATACATAATGTCCCCTGCCATTCGCGGTTTCAACATATCCCCTGCGAATATGGATCGTAATTAACATTCTCTCGTTTGCGTACAAGCAATATTGTACATTAACTGATGAACACATATATTTTCGGTGAAATTAGCCGTTTTATATCATGCTAATCAATAATTTTAATGTATTATATGGCTTTCTTATAAAAAAAGAATAGTGGAAATATTATTAGATTATTAATCCTCTATAGGAGACGTGGATGACTGAACAAACGCTTCAGATCAATAACCCTGAATCGCCCTGAGCGATCGAAACTTCACTCGTGGATATTTCGAGGCGAATTTTCATTTTTCCTGTGCGAGGGCTTCATTAAGTGAATTTGAAATTTGTTCAAATATTTTCTTCGAATGAAAAGTAAAAACTCACGATCAGTTCTCTTATGGAGCAATGCTTGCTAACTGGAGAGTCAGTACTCTCGTAATTTTGACGAAAATTCAATCAAAAGCTTAAAAATATGAATACGAAATATTTGAAGACAATTTGTACCAACCTTTGATCATCTTATTGTAGCCTATGGTTACGGCAAGGACGCTCTCGTAAACGAAATGAAGCGTCTCCCATTTATCGTAAACGATCTGCACCTGGACAGGTATGGTGAGCTTGAGAGCGATCCAATAGCTGGCTTCGCGGCACAAGTTCAAAATGTCGGGATTGATGTTGCAGCGGAGCAATCCAGGCGATTCGTCGATGCGTCGCATGAGGAAACGATCCAGCTTGGCGCGAGGATTCTCACCGACCTCGTGCACCCATTTGGTATGTAGATCGATGATCAAATCCTCGATCGATTTCTTCAGCAGGTCGTGCTGAAAGTAGATATCCTTGCTAAGGTTGCAATAGGGCATCCACACGGCCTCCTCGAGCATCTCTCTTGTTGATTGCACATGAGCACCTTTCAGCCGTAGGTTCAATGCCCTGCCTGCATAATACGGAGTTATCGAAGAATACTCCTCCATCTCGTCCAGTACCTCCTGCTTCGTTCGTTGGATATCCTCGCCGAACAGTTTCCATATCTGCAACGGCAGTATATCCTTCTGTAATTTTCGCATGCCTTCTCAAGTTTCTAGTTCTAGCTTTGAAGTTCCCTTCAATTATTCAGAACTTCCAGACTTTCTTTGTTATCTTGAAATATTAAACTATCTTGAAAAATTAGAGACGAAAATAACAAGCACATAATAATAATAACAAACAAGTTTCTAATTTAACACGTTCCGTGCCATGTGTACCACCGGTGGTACACGCCAAGTCATATTTATTTATTTAATTTATTCATTTTTTGCAATCGAACTGATCGCAGCGCCACGTGTACCACAGGTGGTACACCTTTTTTGCAATCGAACTGATCGCAGCGCCACGTGTACCACAAGTGGTACACGGAATCGATATCAACCTTTAGTCAAAATATCAAATGGCCTGAACGACAACAAAAGGCAAAAAATGGCTTGCCACGGAACGTGTTAATGATCATTTTCTAACTTTGATACCTCGAGTGTTTTAGCACTGAACAGAGCTTTCAGTTTGTCGCGGTTCATGTAAGGGTAGAAACCCTGAAGATCCGCCACCGCGTCTTGCACGCTGCTCATACGCGCGAAAACTGACGCGACCAGGTTTTCGATGATGACTTCTAGATCTTTCATCTCGTTGTGAAAGGCGAACATGTCATCGTGCCACGTGCTACGATAAACGTCGAAGATCTTGTGAGAATTTTCCTCGATCCTCTTCAGCGCCTCGTGAAACAATCTCTCGATCTTTTGACACACCCTCTCTCGTTCTTCACCCTTCGTTCCACTGAACATTGGTTTCATCATCTCCGTCGTTTCGTCTATTCTGTGTACACACGCCGTTTCTCATTGTCGGTTATTATTATTTCTCCTGATTCATTTTGATTTCGATATTTCAATTCACTTCAGAACGATATAAATATCTTTAACCTTTTTTTTTTTAACGAGATATTCCCTGGCAATTTTCTAATTCTTATATAATCCCCCAGAAAATTTAGAATTCTTAATAACATAATTCATTCGAATTAATTAGAATTTTCTGAATTTTTTTCTCTCTAAAATTTCTCGAGAATTTCTCGAAACTCTCTCCCCTGAAATTTATATATCCAGTTTAACAATAGGGAAACAATTATGTTTGTAGAATTGAATATAATAAAAAAAAAGAAAAAGAAAACTGTCATTTTGCTGCCAGTTTTCATTGCAAAAAGATAATGTTGACACGCGAGAATATAAGTAATGGGTTAATCCCTCAATGAATGGTTGGTCGATGAGCGTGGTGAGATGCGGATTGATTACCTGGCAAAATCGATCATCGCCTGACAGATCTCAATCATGTCGTGGCACCTGCTGATGAAAATATCAATATGCTGGAATATATTGTCCCTGTCTAAGTCCCACGGTATGTTCGTCAGGGTGTTGTGGGCTTTCGCTATCTGAAAGACAAAACACAGAGGGATGCGTTTCCATCTGGTTCGTGAATAATCTTCTCGTGAAATTTATACTGCACGAGGAGCTCAGTGTCGTGTCGCTCGTTTAATATCCGGCTTTAACCGAGGCGACGCGTTTGAAATCGAACCGCGAGGGAGAGATGTGACTTCAGGCGGTTAAATGAGGCCTTATCTCACCGTTTCTGCACCCTTGTTTTCGTTTTATTCTGTATTATCGGCCGCTCTGTCACTGCGAACAGTTCTCCGCCAGCTCCACGCGATGGTGTACACATTCGTTTCGATCTATCAAGGGTGAACCAACCCCTTTGTATCGTGTCATAATTCGCTCGTACTATCTTTGTTTCGTCAAGTATATTTATCTAGTTTATTAATCGTCCTCTGAATTATTCGTGCTTTTTATTTTAAATTCAGTCGTTGCAGAGCAATCAACATTTCTGTCAGATGCTTACTATCCACTTATCGTACGATTAAAATATTTATCAGTTAATTTAATTTATTTCTTGTTAGCCGTTTACCCTCTGAATTCTTAACACGTCATGTAGTATATTTTTAAATTTCAACTCAGTCGTCATAAAATGGTCACGAATGTTCACCAATTCAGAAATTTTCAGAATAAGAAAAGTGAAGAAGATCGGCAATTTATTTCTGACAAAAGTTGAAAGAGAGGGAGAGAGAAAGTTATTTCCATGAAAATGCAAGTCTCTAATGTGAAAAAGTAATTAAAAAAAAGAAAAATTAGCGTCATCGGATTGCTAACAGTAAGTGTGTTTGATTCGTGATATTTTTCTAATGAAAGTACCTAGACATCTTCCACGTACTTTCATTATTATATCGATCATAGAGTTTTTTTTTTTTTATGTAAAGTCGAGATCCATGCGAATTTTCCCTTGTCAAAAATCACTCTACTAATACCACTTGGAATATCGAGGCAGGCGATTCAATTTCAAAGCGTTCAAGCGTATGATTTTATTATACTAGTTTCCTTGCATTTTACATTTTTTTTTTTTTTCTTCTATTTTTATCCGAGCGATCAATCGCGAGGTCGCGGATTCATTTTTGAAAGAGACGCACTCGATCCGTTTTTTCGAGAGCTTCATAAACAATTGGGATATCGAAAACGCAATATTATTTCCTTGTCTCGTTACGATTGCACCATCGTTCCGCTGTGGCCATTGTTTTTCAACAAATTGGGTCGCGATTGTTTTCAGAGAGACAGAGAATGCTTCAAAGATTTCTATATATCGGAGGGAAATTAATTATTATGAGTCTAATTCAAAGATACTTTTAATCTTCCACAGAATTCGATTTTATTATCTCCCTTTAACGGACGAATATTTTTCGAGTATCTTGGAAACTCTAGAACTACCGAAAACGATTTATAATTTATCACAAATCACAATTTATACTTTTTCATAGAAATTTCATATATTTATAACAGTGTTTGGAGACTTTAATGATTTTTAATAAAATATTATAAATTTCTTGCACTTTAATTTCTTCGTTAGAAATTTTACTTTTTAATCGTCGGTAATTCTAGCGTTAGATTTATCTCAGGTGTTTTTTCTTTTTTTTTTTTTTTTTTTTTTTT